AGAGAGAGAGAGAGAGAGAGAGAGAGAGAGAGAGAGAGAGAGAGAGAGAGAGAGAGAGAGAGCAGATTGAACATGGGAATTACTGGCATGGGTCTTGTGAAAGATGGGACGAAGTGATGGTTTTGGGATTATGATTCTGAAATGAAAGAAATCCTGTGCTACTTCTCTACTTCTTACGTAATGGGGGACTGACTGGATGATGGACCATCCTTGGTGCAGGAAGGCGTTGCCATCGAGATTGCTGAAGCTGTTGTTGGTGCTCTTCAAGGAGCGTTGGCCGGTACAGCAGTTAATGCTCCCATGGTACCAGCAGAGGTGAGTGGATCAGTGGAATTCGCTTCTTGTTCTCGATGAACTCCTCCCCCCCCTTTGCCCCACTTTGCCCCCTTTCCACCCCCTTCGCCCCTGCAGGGCGAGGAATGGACTGAAGTCTAAAGCTGTAGGAACTGCCCCACTTTGCCCCCGCAGGGCGGGGAATGGATTGAAGTCGAAAGCTGTAGGAAGTGCCCCACTTTGCCCCCTTTTTTCCACCCCTTTTGCCCCCACAGGGTGGGAATGGACTGAAGTCTAAAGCGGTAGGAACTGCCCCACTTTGCCCCCTTTGCACCCCCTTTGCCTCCGCAGGGCGGGGAATGGAGATTGAAGTCGAAAGCTGTATTAAGTGCTGCTGCACTTTGCCCTCTTTTTCCCACCCCCTTCGCCCCGGCAGGGCAGGAATGGACTGAAATCGAAAGCTGTAGGAACTGCAAAGAAGGGTTCTGACAGTGGGAGGAAACTCTCCGTCAGCACTGCAATGAGAAGGGCTTCTTGATGCAGGTTGTGATGTGGCATGGGTAGCTACTAGCTATTCGCCAGATGGTGCTTTGGAGGGTTAATGAAGGCTACCAAAGGTGGCAGATGAGCTGGGAAAACGGATGAGATCCACGACTAGGGGGCACTGGCTCAATCAGCGCAAAAAACTGTGCAGTGGACAGTGGAAAGTAACGACTGAAAAATAACTTGAAAGTTGATACTGCAATGTTTCTGCAAATGCGCAATCTTAATGAATAAAAAATAACTTGAAAGTTGATACTGCAATGTTTCTGCAAATGCGCAATCTTAATGAATAATTGTCACTACTACCATCTTCACCCGAATAAAACAACCCGGTCATTATTGCCCCGTATCTGGACAGAAAGTTGCACCAAATAGAGCTATATGCTGCTATAATGACTGGGTGGCGGGCGTTCTATTGGTGTGCAGACGGTAGCTTTGTTTGCGACAGTCGATCACTTAGGCGAGGTCCGAGTGATAATATATGACCATGCAGTGCACTGGCAAGGCTCACGCTACTCGGCCCAGGCATGGCAGTGGGGGAGCCTGGTGCTTAGCACTGTATCGTTTGTGAAGCTGCGGGCAAGCATGGGAGCGGGGGAGTCTGGTGCTTAGCACTGTATTGTTAAGTGGAGAATGCAGAGCATGAGGAGGTTTGAGGACAAGAGTAAGAGGGACTCAGTCACACCTCTGCCTTTTATTGAGGAGTTGTGGGTGTGTGCTCATATTGTAGTCAATGGCTGCCGGTGGTTTGTGGATCTGGGCGTTACTCTCCGTGCGCTGTTGTCCTTTTTTCTTCTTTTTTTTATCATTTTCACTGTGCAGCTATGGACATGGAAATCTGACAGCAATGAACCACAGAAGTGGAAGAGGAACGACTACTCGCAGACTTACGGAAGTGCCCTCCGAACCGTGCGAAATAGTTAGTTGCCCATTACACGGCTCACTAACTCTACTTGCTTTGAGTTCTCTTACCTATTTGGCGGGGTTTCACTGGATCAAGTGACCAGTTTCCCCCCAAAACGTAAAAATGATTTAGCTATGAAATCATTAAAAACCTTATGGCCTTACATCGCTGCTTCACATTTCCTCTCTGTTCTTCCATCTTTGCCCCAACGCCTCTATGTATGGAGCATCTGTTTGTGCCCAAAAGTGGAAGAGGAACGACTACTTGCAATGCCAGGGACAAGGCGTCGGACCAGTGGTGATGAGACTGACTGTTAACGCCCGGCATTGCGTTGTTTGACGTCAATGGAGGGGAGGGGAGGGGAGGGGAGGGCTTCCAGAGCTCTTTCTTCATGTGTTTCAAAACCCTAACGTGGTCGCGCTGTGACCATCCTGCAGGTCATTGAGGAGCTGACACCATATGTGGCTCTGGCGGAGCGGCTGGCAAAGGTAGCAGTTCAGCTCGTTAGTGGCACGCATGGTATACGGGGAGTGACGATCACATACAGATCTGCAAGGAGCATGGAGGATCTCGACACTCGGCTTCTCCGCGCATACGTGGTTAAGGGACTCGTTGAGCCAGTCTCTGAGTCAGTGGTGAACCTTGTCAACAGTGACTATATCTCAAAGCAAAGGGGACTCAGAATAACGGAGGTACGCCAGGTCTCTGACGGCGATGACGAGGAGCCACTGGAGACCATCCAACTGCAGATAACTGACTGCGAGTCCACGTTCCCGACAGCCATTGCGACGGATGGGAGC